AATTCATTTGTTTAGCAACTTCTGACTTGTTCTTCACAACTTTTCATCATTAAAGTTCCTCCGAGTCACCTCCAGTTGTTAATAATAATAGTACAACAGCAAGCGCATCAAGTATGAATACCTCCAAAACTTAAGGCTGTGTGCACTCAGTCTATAGAGGCTGGTCAACCTTGTTTCATTTCCCATGTTAATTTTTTCTTTTATTTAAAAAAGAAATTCCCAAGTGCTCTTTAACAGAGGGAATATTATTGTCAACACATTTCTAAACAAAATAGTTTAAATGACTAAATTCTAATAACTGATTTCTTCCGTAATCTTTGCCATGATGACAGCACATAATATTTGACTAGATAATTTGTGAGACATTAGTATTCAGCCTAAAGTGACATTTAAAAATGTAATTAGGTTAATTAGGCAAGTAAGATCTATTGGCCAAGTCATTGGGTAACTGTGGTTTGTTCTGTATTTAAGAAGGCTAACAATATTGACCTTAAAAACTGCTTAAACATTTTAAAAACTGCTTTTATTCTATCCAAACTAAAAGAAATAAGACTTTCTCAAGAAGAAAAAAAATACTTGCAACATTTCAAAGGAGGGTGATACAGTGGCTAATGTGGTTAGCACAGTTGTCTCACAGCAAGAAGGTTGCTGGTTTGAGTCCAAGATGGACCAGGATGGCTTACTGTGTGGAGTTGACATGGGTTTCCTCTGGGAGCTCCTGTTTCCCCCACAGTCCAAAGACTTGCGGTATAGGTGAATTAGAAAAACTAAATTGACTGTAGTGTATGAATGTGTGTGTGAATGAGAGAGTGTGTACATTATATTGTGTGAATATAAACATGGATTAACATAAACAAAAAAAAAAAACATTCATGTTGTGCAGTAAAATAATTTTATCCAATGTTTACAGAGCTTTAATAGTAAGGTTGTGGATTAAGCACCTATTTCTCAAACAAAAATAAATAAATAATCTACACTATGAACACAAATAGTAGTTTAATTTATGTCGCATTTTTGATCAGCATCATGAACTAATGATATTTGACTAAATTGACCCCTGACAGAAAGACTCCTGCTATACGAGTCAAATGGTGTAACCAGTTACACCCCTTGACATTTCAACTTAAAATGAAATTTGACAGGCATTATCAATAACATCTATGTAAGCACATGGGCTTGGTGGGAATATTTCAAATTTAACTTTTAAATATAATACTTATTTTTATAATTATGAACAATTATCAGTGCATTTCTGGGGTCTTACCATTTGACATGCATATCTAAGAATAGCTGACCATACCTTAAAAAGGTCAAAGTATCTCACATTTTAAAAAGAGTTACTAACCTTTGCATGCAGCAATTCGTCTTATCAAGAGTTCTTCTCTGTGATTCAATTTCCTGTCTAACTGTCTTGTGCACAATATTAACAAAATGGCTCAATAAATGGTGGTTACACCATCTTGACATTTCAGAAATTTGAGGTGACAGAAAAAATTCCCCAAATGAATTATAATATTTAAAACAATTGTGCTATATTTACCTTTATTTACTATTAAATATGTCTAATGTAAAATTATGCCAGACTAGCCGATACAATGTTTCATTGAGGCTTTCACATTTTTTAAACAAGGTAAACTATTTGGTACCAATTTTTTTTGGTTACACCACATTGACATTCTTGCAATAATCCCCTAAAAATTTTCTTAAAATGGATTAAAACCAAAAAATTAAACTTGGTCCTCAAAATAGAGAATGTATGCAAGTAATTTGCTTATTTATTTTGAAACTGTAACCTACTTGAATTTATTTAAAAGACATGGACACAAAAAAATGAGCGTCACGTCATTGACCCCATTCCTAAGGTATGAGTAAGATTTTTTTTTGCCTGACATGTTTACTTTTCCAAAAAAAAATTTTAACTGAATAAAATATTAATTAAAATACTAATTAATTAATTAAATACTAATTAAAATATATTATGTACAAAGGGAGAAGGTTTTGTTTTTTACCCAGGCAATTAAAAAATATATATTTTAGAGCAGTAATCTATATACTGTGATACCGTGACACTGTGATATTTACAGTTGAGGTCAGAATTATTAGCCCCCTTCGATTTTTTTTTTCTTAATTTTTAAATATTTCCCAAATTATTTTTAGCAGAGCAAGAAAATTTTTACAGTATGTCTGATAATATTTTTTTCTTCTAGAGAGAAAGTCTTATTTGTTTTATTTTGGCTAGAATAAAAGCAGCTTTTAATTTTTTAAACACCATTTTAGGGACAAAATTATTAGCCCCTTTAAGGTATATATTTTTTTTGATAGTCTACAGAACAAACCATCATTATACAATAACTTGCCTAATTACCCAAACCTGCCTATTTAACTTAATTAACCTAGTTAAGCCTTTAAATTTCACTTTAAGCTTTCTAGAAGTGTCTTGAATAATATCTAGTCTAATATTATTTACAGTCATGATGGTAAAGGTAAAATAAATCCATTATTATAAATGAGTTATCAAAAACTATTATGTTTAGAAATGTGTTGAAAAAAATCTGCTCTGTTAAACAGAAATTGGTGAAAAAATAAACAGGGGGCTAATAATTCAAGGAGTTCAAGGAATAATTCTGACTTCAACTATATATCCAAGGTTATCATACCGTCAGACACTTATACCGGCCCATGCCTAAATCTAATTAATTTGTGTTATGACAACAGAAGGAATGTGGATCACAGCATTTTTACTTAGTGTAAATAATCACAATTTTAAAACACAGTTGTAATTTTTTCTAATACATTAAAATGTTTCCTGTTTAATGTTAAGGTAAAAACAAGAATATAATTTTAAATATACTTATGAAATTAGTATATACAGATATACTTCATGCATCTGATAACAAGTTTTTGACCCTTTAACTACCCCACCAAAAAGAGTTTTTGTATTGCATTTCTTAACTCCTAGTGTCACTAGTCAACACACTCAATGCATTTTTGTTCCACACATCCCATAATTTCTAAAATATTAGCCTCTACCAAATGGTTGATTTGTCAGTTTATGGTAAAAATACCTGAATTAATACATATACTATGACAAATCTGAAAATATGAAGTGTGAGCAGAATTTATTTAAATAAATAATACAAATGTAAAAATTTTTGAATACTATAAGATCTTTATTATTTTAAGTATGCCGTAAAATATTTCAGATTCTCGTTCAACATTTTTCTTGTTTGTTTGTTTTTTTACAATAAAACCAACATCAAGTATAGTAGTGCAACAGGATTATGTATGATTTTTGTAAACCAACAATGCTGCAAGTGTAAATCATTATTTAAAACAGTCATTCTTTAAATACATGAACAGTCCTTACTTAAAACAGTAAATGCATGGTCAATCATTTGATGGAGGGCCAGTCAAAGGGTTAATTATTTAAAATACAATCACATTCAAATACATACAATGAGAATAAGCATACTACTTAATATTTATAAGAATATTTCAGTTTCACTGACAGAAAATAGAATGGAATATCATGGCATTTATCTTTTGACACTATTTTCAAAAAAGTTATTTATAACACTGAAGACATTTGCATTTGATATGCTTTAATGTATATAATTTAACATGATCTCATTTTAGCCAATGCATGAATTAATATACACAGAGACAAAAAAAAACACTGTGAAACTATTATAATAAATATACTAAATAATATTGATGAACCAAAGATTTTACAAACACCACTAGGCCTGCACAATATTGAAAAAATTGCCACATAAAAATTGCATTAAAATATACAAAAATATATACCCAAAATAAAATAAATAAATGCACTGATTGCACAGAAAAATAGATGCACAGAAAATGCACAGAAAACAAAACAACAAAACAAAAATTAAATTTGTGCTTGGTTTTTGTTGGTCTAACCATACTGTAGTACAGAAATTTAACAATCAAATGTAAATCAACACTCTATAGTCTTCATTGTATAAATAAACACAATTAATCTTTGTTAAAGTGGCAAACTTTATAATTTATTGTACCCAAATGGTCTAAATGCAATTGAAATTGCTTGACATCTTGCGATGTGACTACCGCAAATTCACATATTGTGATATTAATGCTAAACAATATAATGTGCAGCCCTAAACACCCGAATACAAGTTTGCAATCAATTTAAAAAAGCTTTTAAAGCAAATAAACTCAAAGTTATGTTGTTGACAGACAATAATCAAGTCATACAGCTTACATTTATCTGTTGTTTTATTCTGTACAAATATTTTCAGTTACTAAAATTTCCCTGCATCACCAGATTAGGCAGTTATGTCACAATATTACACTTATTCATAGTCATCATACTGGTTGTCCAAGCAAGGCAAGTGTGTGTTGGCAAAAAAAGACATTTATTATCATTCCAACAAATAAAACATGATATGCAAAAGAGGTGTGAGTGTATGTTGCCATTTGTACAGTAACAACACACTGTAAACAAAGGCTGTGTCCCAAAACCAAAAGTTAAGGCCTAAAATTGGGTCTACTGAGGAATACATATCTGTAAACGCTTCAAAATGGCGGCCAGGGTCAAAAGGAGTATCAAAAACTGTGGAAAACAGATCAAGACACATCTAATGTTGATATTACATTAGATATTTCCACAGTGACCTATTAAAATCATATTTAAAGTAGTGACAAATCGACGTGGATTGCTCTAGCACATCTTGCAGGGTCTCTCGATAGCTGAATTGTGCATACGGATTAGTATAACGTTTGCTAATACATAAAATCAGTTAAAAATTGAGGAATTGTCTTAATAATATCGTGTATAAAAAGCGACGGAATCAAAACATGTAGCGCTAGATAAGCTAAGCTGTTAGCTTCTAAAGCATAAACCTGATTAGCTTGTTTGCTACATGTGTAACTGTTATATTTCAACTCCAAACGTGACATAAACTCGCACTGTAATGCTTTTATTTGTGTTTAGAGGATAATGTGCAAGTTCTTACCTTTCTTGAGCTCGCTGTACCACACTTTGACGATGGTTTTGGAGTGTTTTCTGTGGTGAATGAGCCACAGAGAAAGCGTCTGCACGCTCTGCTGGGAGTTACTCAGTTCTGATAGTTTCTTCTCCAACGCAGGCTCCGAGAACACGGACATCTTCGGTCACAGGTGAATGGTGTGTGGAAAAGGCGACTTGTCCGCATAAACACCCGAAGATCGAGGATTTTACACGGATAACTCCTCACGACAGACACACATTCCCTACTCCGCCACACACGGCGCGTAGTGCGCATGCGCGGTCAGCCGCACTGTGAGCTGCACTAGTTCGGAATTGAAAAGTTTTTAAGAAGTCTAGACTTGCTTTAAAATGCAATCATTTATTAATAATGATATTTAAATATATATATGAATTTAGATTATAGTGTTTTGGAACATTCTTAAAAATCAAGATGCTTTTCTTAAACGCAAAATGATTGTTTATTTTACTCACACTGTAAACAAATGCAGGGTTCCACACAATTCATTCATGTTGTCCCAACACAAATCGATTAAGTTCATTCATTTATTAGTTTTCCTTCGACTTAGTCCCTTCATTCATCAGGGGTCGCCACAGCAGAATGAACTGCCAACTATTCCAGCATATGTTTTAGGCAGCGAATGCCTTTCCATCTGCAACCCAGTAATAGGAAACACCCATGCACACTCATTCAAACAAACTCATTAACAAAAGCCAATTTAGTTCATCAATTCCCCTATAGTGCATGTGTTTGGACTGTGGGGGAAACCAGAACACCCGAATGGAGGTAAAGTTTTATATTCGCACATTCAGACTTTCTCCTTAATAATATAATTTCATGAAAGTATTATTTGCAAACTCTAAATAGCGAAATCATATTAGCAGCCAAATGCCTATCAAAGTACAACATTGTTCACAGTCAAATAAAGTGTTCATGTTGTTTTCAAGTCACACTTGCATGCTAATTCCGATCGAATATTCAAAGTAACATAGAAAAATAAATATAGAGACTTCTAAATGAACGAATGTGCGAATATAAAACCAACTTCAACCCTTTAGGAAACCCACGCCAACAGCGGGAGATACGAAGCAGCAGGGACACAATACAATAAAAATTTCACAGATGCAGATAATAACATCTAAAAACCAAGGAGAAACTAAATTAAGCACAGTGATGTTGTACTGGATTGAATTTCTAAAACACAGGTGTCAAATCCAGTTCCTGGAGGGGCCACAGCTCTGCACCGTTTAGTTCCAACCCTACTTCAACACACTTTTACCTGCAGGTTTCCAACAAGCCTGAAGGACTCAATTAGTTTGATCAGATGTGTTTAATTAGGAATAAAGCTAAACTGTGCAAAGCTACGGCCCTCCATGAACTGGATTTGACACCTGTGTTATAAAGGATGAAAGTGGAATAAAAGCATCGGCAGCAGAAAACTGAAAAGAGAGCAATGAAATAAAGTGCAAACTTTGGGTATTCAAAGGTTAATAAAACTACTGGATTTCCACATGTTCTCTGATTGTTAAGAAGTGACTGTAAATATTGTTGAGTTCAGGGGCAGACTGGCAAATGCCAGAAGGACCGGACCATTTTTTAAATGTGGGCCGGTATGCTTTTTTTTTTAAAATAATTACTTTTATATGTATTTTTTTTACATGCAGGCAGCTTTTATATCTTGCAAGATGTAAAAATGATGATAATAGTAATAATAATAATAAATATTCAGCATTGGCCCAATAAGAAATGGCTGGCTGGTTTAGAGATGAGCGAACCCAATCAGAGATTACGCAGAAGTAATCAAAATCTGGCAAGAATGTCAAACAAACAGTAGGTGCAACACAAGCTAATTGTCAGAGAAGGACCGTAAAAAAGAAAAGCAGTTCCGAAAGGCTCAGAGAAAGCAAAAATCTGCTCTAAAATCAGACGCTGCCAAATGCATAAAATTTACTGAAATAGTCTCGAAAGGAGGCAGCGCAGTTGGGTAGAACTGTAGCCTCACAACAACAAGGTCAATGGTTCAAGCCTCGGCTGGGTCAGTAGGTGTTTCTGTGTGGAGTTTGGATGTTCACGTGGGTTTTCCCTCACAAGTCCAAACACATGCTATAGGTAAATTGGGTAGGCCTAATTGTTTGTAGTGTATCTATGTGAATGTGTGTGTATAGGGGTTTCCCAGTGATGGGCTGCAGCTTGGAGGGCATCCGCTTCATAAAACAAATGCTGGATAAGTTGGCGGTTCATTCCACTGTGGCGATCCCAGATTAAGAAAGGGACTAAGCCAAAGATAAAATGAATGAAATGATTGCATGTATAAATTTGTCATAAACGGGTTGTTTTTGTTCCAGGCACATACACTAAATGTTTAAATATCTATTACATATGATACTGCTCTCAAATCACATCTAGTTTGTGAAGGAGAGTATTTGAAGCCTACCTGAGTATTGTTGCTGACCATGTCCATCCCTTTATGACCACTTTGTCTCCATCTTCTGGTGGCTACTTCCAGGAGGATAACGCACCATGCCAAACCGGGGATCATCTCAGACTGGTTTCTTGAACATGACAATGAGTTCACTGTACTCAAATGGCCTCCACAGTCACCAGATCTCAATCCAATAGAGCACCTTTGGGATGTGGTGGATTTGGCATCATGGATGTGCAGCCGACAAATCTGCAGCAATTGTGTGATGCTATCATGTCAATATAAGGCAAATTCTCTGAGGAATATTTCCAGTAGCTTGTTGACTCTACGCCACAAAGGATTAAAGCAGTTCTGAAGGCAAAAAGGGGTCCAACCTGGTACTAGTAAGGTGTACCTAATAAAGTGGCCGGCGAGTGTAAATGAATAACAAGCCATAAATATGCTTAATTTTACTCATTTGTTCTAATTTTTACTCAAGTAATAGGACAGATGTTAATAAATAAAATTCTGCTGTCAACATTGCATAGTTTTCCCTAAAAAATGACACTGTCTCTACATTATTTGTTAAATTCAGGTATAAATAGATGCTGATCGAAACAAAAATGTGTTTAAGTGAATCACAAGCATTAGTTTCAGTAATTAAACGCACAACATAAACAACTGCAAGTTGTGTTTCCTCTAATTTTATTCTTATAATGAAAAGCAAACAGGCAGCAGAGGAATATTAGTTACTTTCAGTTTAATGCGAATGTACAGTGCGTAGATCTACAAGCCCAAACACACACTTCAATCCACTACAGCTTGACGTCTGCAGAAGTGAGTTAGAAACACAAACATTCGATTAAATAATCATCAAAGGAGGATTATGTCACACAGGTCCATGTTAGTCTTCCTCCATGTCTCTTTCACAGCCAGTTCAGTGTTCAAAAGCTCCTCATGCAGGACAGGAGAGCGCAAGATTTTACTGTACAACACATTTCATTCAATGCTATTCATTAAATAATAAACTGTGCACCATTTTACCTTCACATCTGAACCCATCTGAAGATTCTGGAATATACAATTATACAGAGATAAGTCCCTATATCCTGCAGTTATTATTAAATCTACTATTAAATAAGAAGAAATCCACTCTTTAATTTACACACTGTAAAAATATCAGTGAATTATAGCAGTTTTCTGGATTTATTTATTTATTTTTCTTAATTTATTTATGCTTTTGAAATGCATTATGGGACCTTGATCATTCCTGCAAACATTTATGATGTTGAACTTGAACTTTAGTTGAGATTTTAATAGTCTGAAGTGATTTATTGTCAGTATTGGTGTTATCATACATGGACATAGACATTACTCAGTACTTTTTTCTGTAATTTTACACACCTAATTCTCAATATATTATATCCTAATACGATATATTGTTGCTAAAATGTCAATAAAAGTCCATTTGTTAAGCTGTAGAGTTTAATTTCACCATCAAAACAGATAAATAATTTTAATAATTATTAATTCAATTATTATTGAATTATTTAATTATGATTAATAATTATTAATAAATATAAATAATATAAAATTATTAAATGATGATGATGATGATAATAATAATAATAATAATAATAATAATAATAATAATAATAATAATAATAATAATAATAATAATAACTACAATAATAACAATAATAGTAGTAATAATAATAATAATAATAATAACAATAGTAATAATAATAATAATAGTAATAATAATTTTAACAATAATAAATTAATTATCATAAATCAAAGTTCCACAATGCAATTCAATTGAAATCAATTAAAATGGAAAGAAATGGAACCTGTAAAACTGCTGTTATCAGATATTTTTAACAGTGTAGAGCAGCTTAAATTAAAACATGACACAATGACTCTCCGACAGGTCAATAAATAACTTATAAATAATCACAGAAACCAGATTCATTCTAGAAATGTCCTGTTCATGTTATTGAAAATTAACATGCAACTAGAGACACCATCAAACTCAACAAACAATGAAAAACAACACTGACATGAGTTACACACACACAAGCACGCACACACTCCCGCGGACACTCTCGCGCAAACACTCTCAAGCACGCACACACTTGTGCACGCACACTTGCACACTTTTACGCACACACACAGACATACATACATACATACACAAAAACACACATAGATAGATATATACATACAAATAAACAAACACACACTCTCACTTTCACACACACACACACACACACTTACTCTCATACACTCTCACGCTCACACAGATTCACATGCACACACGCGCGCACACACACACTCACACACGCATGCACAATTTTTTCTCGAGACACTCTCTCAGACACTCTCACGCACACACACACTCTTGCAGACAATCACGCACACACTTTTGCGCAAACACTCTCGCACACACACTCACGCAAAACCCTCTGGCACACACTCCCTAGAGCACACTCGCGTGCACAAACTCTCGCGTTGCCAAAGTCTCGTGCGCACTCTCGCGCACACAGAATCCCGTGCACACACTCGCACGCACACGCACACTCTCGCACTCACACAGGCACACTCTCACTCTTACGCACATGCACACTCTTCCTCACGCACAAACACTCGCGCGCACACTCTCTCGAACACACTCTCTCGCGCACACGCTCTTGTGCACACTCTCACGCGCACATTCTCTAGCACACTCTTGCGCGCACACTCTTACGCGCACACACACTCTTACGCGCACACACACTCTTACGCACACATTATCCAGCACACACTCTCTTGCGCACTCCTACGCGCACACACACTCTCACGCGCACATTCTCTAGCACACTCTCACGCGCACTCTCATGCCCACACTCTCACGCGCACACTCTCTTGCACACACTCTCACGCGCACATTCTCCAGCACACACTCTCACACACACACTCTCTTGCGCACATTCTCCAGCACACACTCTCGCACACACACTCTCTTGTGCACACTCTCACACACACACACTCTCAAGCGGACATTCTCCAGCACACACTCTCGCACACACACTCTCTTGTGCACACTCTCACTCTCACACACACTCTCAAGCAGACATTCTCCAGCACACACTCTCGCACACACACTCTCTTATGCACACTCTCACACATACACACACTCTCAAGCGGAAATCCTCCAGCACACACTCTTGCACACACACTGTCTTGCGCACACTCTCACGCGCACATTCGCCAGCACACACTTTCGCGCACACAGAGCCACACTCTCACGCTCGCTCTCATGCGCATGCACACTCTCACACACACTCCCACGCACACTCTCACGGGCACAAACGATCGCGTGCACAAAGTCTCGCGCGCACACTATCTGACGTGCACACACTATCAGGCTCAGACACTTTCACAACTCACGCGCACACACTCTCTCTCTCACACACACACACACCTATTCAACAACAACACAAATAAACTGTAAAGTAGTCAGGACGAGATAATAAAAGTGAACGCTGTAGTGTTTAATCTTAAAATACTGACCTTAAGATTGCTTGACCAGCCAAACACAACCTCCCCACTTCACCTTCCTCTCAATAAGACTAGTGTTTTAATAAATAAACAAATGGCAGACATCAACACGAACAACTCTCTCATAGCTCAACTGCAGATTTAGCATCCTGGAGTGTGTAAACGCCGCTGGCGTTGCGTTTTGTTTGCGAAGCGCTAAGTGTTAGAATCACACACACACACACACACACTCACACACACACACAGTGAGCAGCGCAGCCAGATATTAAGATACTCATGCCTAAAACTGTTGCTTTTATTGGATTATTTACACCTAGAGTCAAACACGCAGGGGGTTTAAGAGAGGAATCATTCTGGGCTGTGCTAAGACGGTCATGCGGGCGCTTTTATTTGACTTTAATCTGCTCTTATTTCCTGCGATGTGATTTATTCTGCCATGCCGGTTTTCGGGATGCAACTTTTTAAATCATATCATCTTCAATTGGAGGTAAAGTCGGTTTTATAATCAAACAATCTGACTTTCTCCTTAACAAAATCATATTAGAAGCCTCATCTACCATATAGCAGCCACCGAATAGTGCCTGCGGTCAATTAAACAGTGCTGAAGTCATACTCAATGCCATTTCAGACCCAATATTCAAATTAAGGATGAACAATAAAACCAACTTCACCTCAATTCATCTTTGCAGGATTTATCGGGAAGGAAAAGAGCAAGTGACGCTGCTTAAATCTTTTGCGATGTGGCCTGAGGAGCCTTTGTGGGGAATGTGTGAGAGGGAGAGAATGCAGAATAGATGAGGGAGGGTGGATCGCGGTGAGGTCTGAGAGTGGACTGCGCTTCCCTCCTGTGGCAGCAGGGGGTGCTCAGTCCCTGGTGCGGCCCACGATGGCCAGGATGTAGAGGAAGATGTTGATGATGTCGGTGTAGAGGTTGAGAGCTGCGAAGACGTATTCCTCCGGGCTGATGGCCAGCTTCTTATTGCCCAGCAGAAGCTGAGTGTCCACGGCCAGAAACTGCAGAGAGGAACAAACGAGACTCGAGTTTGAGCTTGGGGAGATACAGCAAGAGGAGTTTAAATCAAGTTTATTTGGATAGTGCTTTTCACAATAGTTAATATTTCAAAGCAGATTTACAAAAGGTGCACATTACTGCATTATAATCAATTTAGGAGAGGTTAAGATTGTATTAGTTACCATAACTAGTGACTAATAGCTTACAATAATACTTAAAGTTATCATATATAAGCACAGTTAACCTGTAGTTATATAGTATATACAGTGCATCCGGAAAGTATCGATAGCGCTTCACTTTTTCCACATGTTTGTTACATATATGTTACAGCCAGGGCCGGCGCGTCCATAGAGGCGACCTAGGCGGCCGCCTAGAGGCTGATTTATAGTTCCGCGTCAAACGCCGGCGTATGCTACGGCGCTGACGCATAGCCCTTCGCCGTGGCCGTCGCCGTCACTGACGTGTACCTCTCAAAAAAATGTAACTACACGTCGCAACGACGCGTATCGCAAGCTCTGTGATTGGTCGGCTTGGTAGCGCTGACGAGTCTGGGCGGGACCGAGAGCTGCGCGAATGGCACGAGCGATTGTTTACAAGTGTGGAGTCCCGTGAAGGAGCTCCGGATGGAAAGTTTTGTTTTGTGTTTACCTCATAGTTAAAGCTGCTGCACGTCCGCCGGTTCCTGCCTCAAAATGAGCAAGTTTGAGCCACTTGTACATCCAAGAAGTGTTCAGGAAAGAGAGAAGAAACTCGACACAGAGAAACATTTACACCTCACTGCCAACTAGCGTTTCGGAAGTGTTAATGCAGACCGACAGAGACAGCGCGCAGAAGTATAAATGCACAGCCACGCGCGTTGCATGCGCCGTGGGTTACGCCGGTCACCTGACGCAGAAGTATAAATCAAGCTTAGGGCGGCAGTATAGAGAGGGCGGCATCCGCGACACCTCCCACCCGCGTCCTCAGTTATGTCCGCGACACCTCCCTCACCACCCGCATCCTCAGATATATTCGCGGACAGACGACAGAACAGAGAGGGCGGCGTCAGCGACACCTCCGTCAGCACCCGCGTGTCCTCAGTTAAGCCTGATTTATACTTCTGCGTCAAGTGACCGGCGCAACTCACGGCGCATGCAACGCGCGTGGCTGTGCATTTATACTTCTGTGCATTTATACTTCTGTGCGCTGTCTCTGTTGGTCTGCATTAACACTTCTGAAACGCTAGTTGGCAGTGAGGTGTAAATGTTTCTCTGTGTCGAGTTTCTTCGCTTCTGTTTTGCTATTCTGAACACTTCCTGGTTGTACAAGTGGCTCAAACTCGCTCATTTTGAGGCAGGAACCGGCGGACGTGCAGCAACTTTAACCATGAGGTAAACACAGAACAAAACTTTCCATCCGAAGCTCCTTCACGGGACTCCACACTTGTAAACAATCGCTCGTGCCATTCGCGCGGCTCTCGGTCCCGCCCAGACTCGTCGGCGCTACCAAGCCGACCAATCACAGAGCTTGCGCCAAGCGTCGTTGCGACGTGTAGTTACAATTTTTGAGAGGTGCACGTCAGCGACGGCCATGGCGAAGGGCTATGCGTCAGCGCCGTAGCCTACGCCGGTGTTTGACGCAGAAGTATTGATCAGCCTTTATGTCCGCGCATAGGGCGGCAGAATAGAGAGCGCAGTGTCCGCGACACCTCCCTCCCTCTCTCAGCACCCGCGCGTCCTCAGTTATATCGGCGCATAGTGCGCTGGAAAAGAGGTCCGCGACTATGGAACAAAATCAATGCCTAAAGTCTTGAATTAAAAAGCTTGTTGAATATCACAAACTGAAAAAAATAATACACCGTATTAACAAGTTCTTGCATTTTAATGACTTGAATTCCAGGGTTTGTATTTTTAGTTCCTGAAATTTAACATAGCTGTTTATTTAAGATGTGAATATTTCAACGAAAAATATTTCAAACACGTTTTCATACTTAAAAATTCAATAATTCATATTCAATTTTCAGATTTCACTTAAAAAATATTCAATACCCTTTAAAAATATGATGTATAATATTCAAAAGTTCATTTTCAGTTCATTTTATTTCAGTTCTAATATTCGCTTCCATAAATTCAGTGGATCAAATTCGACTGATAAATTTCAACATTACATCCGGGAACTGCAGGAAAAGCAATAGATTGCAGAGTGAAGATCGCCAGCTGCTCTAGCTTTCACCAGCAGGTGGAGATGGAATAATGTAAGATTTTTAACCCAGTAAACAGGCGAGAAAAAGGCTAATAAAGGCAAAAAAAAGTAGCATTCAATTTTAATATCAATGCCTTGGACATTATAAATAATAAAAAGTATGAGCAAAATGAGTAAATGAGGTTTTAGTCATCTATATTTGCCCTTATGTAATGGAAGCCAGCTGGTGATCGCGTAAAGCTCACTCCTGATCCAGGGACAGACGTTGTTCTGCAATCTTATCGGAGCTCGTCTCCCATGCCGGCTCGTTACCTGCTCGGACCGGTGCGGTTACTTGCACATAAACCGTCTTTTGATGAATATGATGTTACACATTGTCTATCTTTATTGACTCTTTCTTCCATAGACGCTAAGTATTATATTGACAGCTAAAGAATATAAATGTAATGAGACCATGTCTGGGCACTACAAGTCCCAGCAGGCTTAGCGCCATGCAAGGAAGTGTTGTTGTTTATGTGCGGACACTTTATTTCCTGATTGCGGTGTAAATTAACAACAGGTTGTAGATTGCTCAGCGCTATATAAGTGAGTCAAAGTTTGTTTGCCATTTTGCTGTCGTTGTTGCATTCTGGTCGCGGCAAATTTAATAGACCATCAAATCCCCTTAGTAGATGATACACCAGTACGCCAACGCTATCGTAGAATTCCCCCCAGTCAGTTTGAAGATGTGAAGGCTCACATTAGACAGTTGTTGGACAGCCACATTATTAGGGAGAGCAGTAGCCCATATGCCTCCCCAATTGTATTGGTGAAAAAGAAAGATGGTTCTTTGAGGATGTGTATTGACTACCGCCAGCTGAATGCCAGAACCCGTAAGGATGCCTACACTTTGCCAAGGATAGAAGAGTCGCTGGATGCATTGACTGGAGCAAAGTGGTTTTCAACTTTGGATCTGGCAAGTGGATATAATCAGGTACCGGTAGCGGAATCTGATCGATTCAAGACTGCTTTTTGTACCCCATTTGGGCTGTTTGAATTTAACAGGATGCCATTTGGACTGTGCAATGCCCCAAGCACTTTTCAAAGATTAATGGAGAGAATTTTTGGGGATCAGAGTTTTCAGTCGCTGCTGCTCTACTTGGATGATGTGATTGTTTTCTCAACAACTATTAAGCAACATATTCAACGACTGGGGCTGGTGCTGGATAGGCTGAGACAACAAAACCTTAAGATAAAACTCAGTAAATGTTGCTTTTTCCGGTCAGAAGTACGTTATTTGGGGCATGTGGTCTCTTCCACTGGGGTTAGCACAGATCCAGAGAAGATATCGGCCGTAGCTAAGTGGAATCAGCCACAAAGTCTTCAAGAACTCAGATCTTTCCTTGGCTTTGCTAGCTACTATCGACGGTTTGTAAAGGACTTTTCAAAAATGGCTGGACCCTTGAATGCATTGGTAGCGGAGCTGATTAGGGGGCAAAAGAGTAAACGACCTAAGATTAACCTGGGGTCCAATTGGACAGATTCTTGTGAACATGCTTTCCAAGCCCTTAAAATGGCTCTGACTAACGCTCCTGTTCTGGCTTATGCTGATTTTAGTAAGCCCTTTATTCTAGACATTGATGCAAGTCACCAAGGTCTGGGCGCTGTGTTGTCTCAAGAACATGGAGGTAAAAATCGACCAGTGGCTTTTGCAAGCCGTGGATTGCGACCACCTGAACGTAACATGCAAAATTACAGCTCTATGAAATTGGAGTTTTTGGCCCTGAAATGGGCTGTTACAGAAAAGTTCAGGGAGTACTTGTTGGGCCAGAAGTGCTTTGTGTATACTGATAATAATCCACTTAGCCACTTGCAGACTGCAAAGTTGGGAGCATTGGAACAGCGTTGGGCTAATCAACTGGCAGATTTCGATCTGGAAATAAAATACAAGCCTGGACGTTCAAATGTTAATGCTGATGCTCTTTCTAGAAAAACTCCATCTGTGGTTGAACTTGCTTTAACGACTCCAGTGCCAAAGGAGTTACATCAGTATGGTCCCAACAGTTGTCACACAGTTGCCAGTGAAACCATGTCTGTCTTTCCAGAACAGCCTAGGGAAGATCTTGGTGCGTTACAGGAAGCGGATCCTGCGATTGGGCGTTTTCTTGTTTATTGGAATCGCCAAAAGACCCCTGATGCACAAGAGAGAGCAATGGAGTCATCAGAGGTGCTGGAACTCGTGCGGCAGTGGGGGAAGCTGGTGAAGATGGAGGGAGTGTTGTACCGAAAGTTTCATCCTCAAGAGGAACATCGAGAAATCCGCCAGGTTGTATTACCATCTGTACTCAGGGAAAGAGTCTTGGCCAGTCTACATGATGATCATGGGCATCAAGGCATTGAACGGACCGCAAGTTTAGTGAGAACTCGTTGTTATTGGCCAGGTATGTTTAAGTTTATTGAGGAATGGTGCAAGAGATGTCAGCGTTGCACTCTGGCTAAAGTGGTACGACCAAGAGTGCGAAGTTTCATGGGGCACCTGATGGCAGAGAGACCATTGGACATCCTGGCTATTGACTTCACATTACTGGAACCTGCATCAAATGGGCTTGAAAATGTACTAGTTATGACTGATGTGTTTTCAAAGTTCTCACAAGCTATCCCAACTAAAGATCAAACTGCAGTAACAGTGGCACGTGTTTTAGTGGAGCGTTGGTTCTACTTGTTTGGAGTACCATGACAAATCCATTCCGACCAAGGAAGGTGCTTTGAAAGCAAGTTGATCTACGAGTTATGCAAACTATATGGCATTTCAAAGACTCGCACCACACCTTACCGACCACAA